CATGGCAGTCTCAACCCCAAAGCCTGTCCTGAAGCCGGTTTGAAATAGTGTTTTCTTGGCAAGATTTGTTCAGAAGGATTTTTGCTTTTGCTTCTGCTTTCTTCTGGGGCTGAGAGTGTGTGACTTGTCCTGAACTGTAGCAAAGCTTAAAAAAAATATAAGGCTTATTTAATATATGTCAGTAAGAAGTGTAACAAGCATTCATACATCTATTTTTAGTGATCTTTTGGCAAATGGAACAAGGTTCATATTGGCTGAGCCAATATGAACCTTGACAAGGTTCCCCATGACAAGGTTCCCCATGACATTCTTGCAAACAAGCTGGTAAAATGTGGGCTAGACAAATTAACTGTTACATGGATTTGTAATTGGTTGACTGGTCAACACAAAGGGTGCTCAACAATGGCTTCTTTTCAACCTGGAAAGAAGTGACCAGTGGGGTGCCACAGGGCTCTGTCCTGGGCCCAGTGCTATTCAACATCTTTTTCAATGATTTGGATGAAGGTATTTTTATTGGGGGTATGGTTATCAAATTTGCAGATGACACCAAATTGGGAGGAGTAGCTAATACCCCAGAAGACAGGATCAAAATTCAAAATGACTTGAACAGACTAGAAAGCTGGGCCAAAGCTAACAAAATGAAATTCAACACGGAGAAATGTAAAGTACTGCACTTAGGGCAGAAAAATGAAAAGCACAGATATACAATGGGGGACACCTTGCTGAACGAGACTATGTGTGAAAGGGATCTAGGAGTCCAGGTAGACCACAAGTTGAACATGAATCAACAGTGTGATGCAGCAGCTAAAAAGGCCAATGCAATTTTAGGCTGCACAATAGATGTATAGTGTCTAGATCAAGAGAAGTAATAGTGCCACTCTATTCTGCTTTGGTCAGGCCTCACCTGGAATACTGGCCTCGCCTGGAGGAATACAGGTCTCACCTGGAATACTGAAATACTGTGTCCAGTTCTGGGTACCACAATTCAAAAAGGATGTGAAGA